AGAGAGAGAGAGAGAGAGAGAGAGAGAGAGAGAGAGAGAGAAATATATTTTTGAAAAGAGAGTTATATAAAAAATTTTACTGCAAAAAATGATTTTATGTGTATGGAAGTTTTGTCTGCATATAAGTCTGTGTACCATGTGTATGCCTCATGTCTGAGGAGGCCAGAAGAGGTCATTGGATCCCCATCCTGCTGGAATTAAAGATAGCTGTGAGTTGCCCCCATGCATGTCAAGAACTGAACTCAGGTCCTCTGGAAGAGCAGCAAGAATGGTTAACTGCAGAACCATCTCTCCATTCCCCCATCTTAGTTCATTTGATTAATTTTACAGATTTTTTTTTATGAGACTATTCCAGCTTGTAGTGATAACCTAACCTGGGCTTTCAGCCTTGATGGATATCCTAAAGGAAAATAAATGTATTTTTAAATAAAAAATTATAAATTATAAAAACAGTTTTATAGCAACTAAGTTATGAGATTATTCACCTAAAAAGATAACTATAATAGTGTTTAACATCACACTTTAGATAGGAAAAAAACCTACTTACAGGGCCATCATGTGATTCTGCCTACTTTTGATACTATTTTTTGAGGTTCTCCACAAAAGAATACAATACTCTATAATGCACATGAAGTTTAGTTTTATAGGAATACCACATTTCAGAAAAACCTCTGAGGAGTCCCAAAGGGGGTTTAGAGATAATCTAATGTAGCCCCCACATCATTTTCTTCCGAGGACAAAGAAGAGAAAGATAACAGTGCAGAAGATAGCAACAGGACTCAGAGATTTTATTATAACTGTTCTCAAAATGTCTTCTAGATTTACGGAGCAAGAAAGCAGCCGGAGCCAGCACACTGAAGCCCACTGCCTCGGTGAGATCTCGCTTCAACTGTTTTACTTTTTGCCCCATCATCTGTTATTGTGCTTTATTTTTGATTGTAAGAGAAATTCTCAGTTTTCTAGGTTTTAAGCTAGATTATCTTCAAAACACGCCTAATCTTTCCTGAAAACAAAGTTTGAAATTGGAAGGGGAAACGGGTTCACGGCATTTCCACGCCTTAACTTTCGGCCTTGATTTTACAAATTTACTATGTCTGGTTAAAACCTACACCTTTAAATAACCTCGCCCACGTGACCATGTTTTTGGCCTTTTTTTTTTTTTTTTTTTTTTTAAAGGGGGTTTTTCAAAGGAATGGTTTATTTGGGGAGGGATTACGTCAGCGTCAGCGCCAGCAGTTACAGTAACTACCGTATTGACACTACGTGTTTCATAGGACAAATATTTAAATATAAGCGCAAAACAGTTCACATTCAGGTCATTATTTTCTCCGTGACTTACTACATTCAGTTCTGTTGTGCCAAGTGCCTGAGAACTAGCATTAAAAAAAAAGTTTTATTTCTCAGATAAAAACTGAGCATAATGCTTAAAATACGCGGCCCTCCTACTCGAGGACCAGGAAGCGTTTAGGGCAGTGGTGCGGCTGCGCAGCCTGCGGGTGTTTGCTCCTGCCTTTCCGCAGACGACCAGGAGGTGGCGCTGCGGGCGAATGCAGTAGCGTCTCCCTAGGGCTCTGGGAAAGAGCGTAAAAGGGCGGGAGGTGAAGCGGGCTGGTGGACGTTCTATCCCCGACTGCCCTGGTCTCTATAGCCCTTTGTCCTCCAGCCTCCCCGGGGCTCTGGGCCTGCGGGCCTGGTTGCTAGGCGGAAGCGGGGCGCGGCGGCGTCCGCTGCGGCTGCCCGGGCGTTTGAAAAGCCGCTTAGCGGGCGGCAAAAGGTGCCGGGGCTGCGGGCGTGTGGGGCGCGGTTGCCGAGCCGGGGTAGGGTTAGGGTCTGGTCGGCGGCCCGGGGGAGCGGGGCCGGTCGCTGCGGAGCCTTGGAGGCCTGCGGGGTCCGGCTGCGCGCCTCACGGGGGTCTCTTCCCTTTAGACCCCGCCGCCGCGACCATGGTCTTCAAGTCCGACCAGTTGCTCATCGTCGTGTCCATCCTAGAAGGTGAGCGGCCTCCGTTGTCTTCTTTTTTTTCTTCTTCTGCAACTGCTGTTTCCCGAACCTCAGCCGAGTAATGTGTGACCACGGCTTTGTTAACCTTACGAACCCTGTCATCTCTGCTTTTGTAGTCCCCGAAGACTTGTTCAGTTGCGTGGAGCTAGGGCTGTTAGGCAATTGATTTAAACATCTCCCCGGGGAACGTGAGTGCTATTAGGGATAAGTGATATTTAGCGTGACTAGCCGTAGCCCCAGAGAATGTAGGAAAAAAAAAAAAAAAAACCGATCTCCATCAGAAGCGGCCTGTCGATGGCTTTTATATATGAGCTGAAAGTGCCTGCAAAGCATGTTCTGTGCAGCAGCCCCCGCTAATGCCATTTTTAAGAACTTTGCCATTGACTTTAATGTACCATTTCAGATGTATTGCGGAGGCTGTTTCCTTTACGTGTCTTGATGGCGTACCTAGGGGACTACGGTCGTTAAGGTGTATTAAATGATCCTTACATGTTTGTTGAAGGAGTGATATTTGTTTATAGGGGACTTATTGAATGTCAGGTGCTGTGATGGAAATGCAGGTGGCCCTAGGTCTAGAAGCTACCAGTAAAGTGGTGGGGAGTGTGTCACGAAGGCATGACCTCCTCTTCTGGGGAATGTTTTCCTGAGGAGATGACGTGTATTTGGGTCTGAAAGCTAATAAAGGAATGGGTCAGATGACAAAAGCTGGACAGATGGTCTGGCTGCAATGAGCGCTTAAGGTGTGTGAAAAGAAGGTATGTTTTGCTCTCGGGTGCATTCCATAAGCATTGCTTCTATTCAGTGTAGTTAGCTGACTGCAGCAAAGTGGAGATTATAGTTGTTCTGTTTATTGGAACAGGTTATCAGTATGCAGAGTCATCGTGAGCGTTTATCCACAGTGGTATTTATTGGTTAGACTCCTGTCCCCTCATCAGAGAGGTATGGTACTATTTGGGTACTATTTGAGAAGAGGGAAGAAAAACAGAGTAAAAATAGTTTCTGAATTTTGGAATAAGAAATTGACCAGAAGCTAATATTGTCCCTAGCAATATTAATTGTCGCTCCTTTACTGCTTAAAAAAGCAAGCCTGAGCAGGGAGTGGCTGGCTCATGCCTTTAATCCCAGCACTCGAGGCAGGCGGTGGGTTCCCGTCACCACCCACCAAAAAAAAAAAGAAAAAAACAAAACAAACCCACAAATAAACCCCTCCCCCCCCCCCAGAATGAAGTAATTTTCTAATTGGTTGACAGAGGCTTTTAAATTTAGAACTGGCCCTTCTCTATGAAAAAAAGAAATGTAGTGATTTCCTGCCTTCCGTGATATAGGTGTCTGTTTATTTGGGGTAGACAAATTAGTGTGCAAGACACCACATTTGGGCAGCACTATAATAAAAACTTGATACAGACCATAAATGTGGCTTTGGCAGTAGAATAGGAGTAGGGTTTGAAGTGCCTTCCATCCGAAGCTTCAGACAGACAAGGAAGTGTTGTTACGGTGATTGGATATACCAGGTTTACAGGAATGAACGTGGTGGGTGGAAAGAGGCAGAAAGATGGCTGTGGTAGAGAAAGGTAAATGTTTAGGAATATTGTACTTGGTCCGAAAGAGCTAGGATGAGTTGGCCTGGGAGTACCTTGAGAGACAAAGAGTTAAGAGTTGTCATTCTAAGAGGAGGGTTGGTGGCTATGGCTGTAGTCCTAACTAAAAGAATGAACTGAACTCATGTTTGGTTTAGGAATTATATTCAGGAAAGCGAACCTGGAGTCAGGGATGTCGGTTAGGTTGCTTCCACAAACATACCTAAAACTGGCATGCGGTCCTCTCCCCATCTGGTTGTGTTTACATTCAAACCAGGAACCTGGGATTCATCACCGTCTTCCGAAGGATCGCCAAGAGTTGTTGATTTTATTATAGGTGCTATGTACACACAGATGAGTCTCCACTGTGTGCCCGGCTTCATACCTTCATCCTCACCTCACCTGATGATCTCAGTCTGTTTTCTAAACATTTTCTTTCCTTCCAGAAACAACTACTGCCCTGAACTACCTGGCAGTAATCTTTCTGATCAGCAGATCTTGCCTTAAAGTCTTCCAGAGTTCCCATAATGTCTGCACTCTTAGAGTAGAAAACATGGCCCCTTGTGGTAAGACTCCTGCTGGCCCTTTAGGTTTCATATGTCCTCAGGACTCCAGTTGTATCTAGCTACTTGTAATTTCTTAGTTACATATCTAGAAATGGATTTCTAGAACTGAATTTCTCCATCAGTCCAAATCATGGTGTGCTTGGTTCCAGAATAAAGAACAAAATAAAACAAACAAACAAACAAAAAACTACAGCATAACAAACAGACTTCTGTTGTCTGCCTCTTACTGTGTTAAAAAACTGTGGCTAAGGGTAGCTGGGAGGAAAGGGCTTATCTCATCTTACATGTTCCAATTTCAGTTCATCATTGAGGGAATGAGAGCAGGAACTGTAGCAGAGTCCCCGGAGAAAGATGCTTACTCACCATGGCATCCTCAGCCTGCCTTCTTTTATACCACACAGGACCACCTGCAAGAAGTGGCTCGCCCCACATCATGACTGTCGTTAGTCAAGAAGATGTCCCACAGACTTAGCTACAGGCCAATCTGACAGGCATTTTCTCAACTGAAGGGCCCTCTTCCTAGATGACTCCAGCTTATGTCAAATTGGCAAAAACCTAACCAGCACCGAGTTTTAAATAAGACCCTCTGGCTGACATTTTTAAAGGGCAATTTCATATTTATTTATATTTGTATCTGTGTGAGTGTATGTGCACACCTATTCACACCTCTAGAAGACTAGAAGCCAGTTTTGGGTCACCTCCTCAACTGCTCTACCTGTTCTCCGTGAAGCTAGGAGCCTTCGAGCCTCAGTGATTCCCGTTGTCCTGCAGCTGATGGTACATCAGCTGTGATTACAGGAAGCCTGGCTTGTGACTCCAAACTCCAGGCCTCATGATTGAGCAGCAGATACACTGTTAAGTCTCTCTGTCCCTAGCTGACATTCTGAAGACTGCAGTCAGGTCCTATCCTGTCCTGTCCTGTCCCGTCCCATCCCGTCCCGTCCCGTCCTTTCCTTTCCTTTTTTTTCCTTTCCTTTCCTTTCCTTTCCTTTTCTTTCCTTTTCAAACCAGAGTATTTATTTTGTGACTGATTGTCAAAATTCTGAAGATGAACTAAATGCTGAAACAGTTTCCCCTCGTTTCCATCCCTGGGCAATCTCTCAGGTGCCTCATTGGTGCAGTCCTGGTACTATTCTGTCTCTCAGCCTAGGCACTCCCAATTTTACTTTTCCTTCCGTGGGTAGTCCAGGTTGGCCACAGGTTGACGTCTGAAGGCCTTTGGATCACAGGGGTGGCACAGTGTGTGTCTTGCTGCATTGCTTCCAAACAGTGCAGTTCCTTGTCAGCTTGCCTCTGTGGGGCCAGAGAGACCCTGGCTTTGGTTTTGGTTTGTTTTGGGGTCCCATCTCATCCAGGCTCTTTGCCTCCACTTCCCAAGTGTTGGGGTTATCTGTGTGTGCCACCATCTCATAAAATCCAGGTCTTTGCTGCCCATTTAATTCCTAACCTAGTAGCTTTAATCCGGGTGAATAGCATGGAGAGGGGCCTATTTATTTAATAGTGGTTAAAATTCCCCTTCCTGTGATCTCTCTCACTAGACTAAAAAAACAAAATAATTACTTCAGTGCAAGATTGATAGGGATTCTTGCTGTTTACTTTCTTCCAGTTTTGAAATTTTCCCTTCCGCTAGACCCTTGGTTTTCTTTTTAGGACCAGAACCTGTTTTATTCTTTTTAAAGCCATTTATTTTACTGTTTGTCTTTCTACTTTTTAATGTGAGTCATAAGTGTGTTGCATGGTCTGATTCCCTGTTAGAATTGCAGGCTTTCAGGCCCAACTAGACCTACCCAACCTGAATCTACATTTGTGCAGGATCCCCAGGTCGTTCATATGCGCATTAATATTGGAGAAGCAATGATTGCTAAGTTACAGCTTTCAGTTTATAAAAGTAAGTGCAGATGTATTTGTGAGATAGTTTATGCAATGTCAAGCTAGCTACCTGGACATACACCAATATTTAAAACACGTTTTGTGACCCTGTTTAATTTCTGTATATACCTGTATTCTTTTTTCAGGTCGCCACTTCCCCAAACGTCCAAAGCATATGCTTGTGGTGGAAGCCAAGTTTGATGGAGAGCAGCTGGCTACTGATCCTGTCGATCATACTGACCAGCCAGAATTTGCTACTGAGTTAGCCTGGGAAATTGACAGGAAAGTTCTTCATCAACACAGGTGAGGCTACTCTCAACTGTCCCAATATCTTTGTCCTCTTTTTGTTTGTTCGCTTGTTTGTTGTTTTATGGCTTTTAAGGTACATTTCATAACTTACTGATTATGGTGCTAATCGTATTTGTTGAATATTTTGTTTTGTGGGTGTGTCTGAGACAGGGTCTCTCTTGGTTTCATTTCTTGTTGCTGTGATAAAGCACCTGATGAAAGTAACTTGAGAAAGATTCAGTCCACAACCCCAGGCTCCAGACGTCACTGTAGGGAAGTCAGGGTTGCAGGAAATGGAAGCAGCTGGTCACATTACATCAGCAGCTGGGAGCAGACAGCAATGCGTTAATTCGTGCTTGCTTGTACTCAGCTCCCCTTCTCCACTCTTAAACAATTCAGGATACCCTGCCTGAGGAGTGTCGTTGCCCACAGTGGGCAAGTCTTCCCCCCTCAAATGGACTTAAAGTGTAACATCTTATTTTTGTTTATGAACTTTATGGCTAGAAATAGTCACGAACAGCAGTACTTTTATTAAATGACAAAAATTACTTTTTAGGGGGTTATTTTTGTTTTGGTTTTTGAGACAGGGTTTCTTTGTGTAACCTTGGCTGTCCTGGAACTAGCTTTGTAGACTAGGCTGGCCTTGAATTCATAGACATCTGCTTGCCTCTGCCTCCCAAATGAAAAACTGATCACAGTATAGTTTCCTCTAACCTGAGGTGGGGCAAAAAGAGTTCAAGGCTGGCCTGGCCTATCTAGCATTCTATCTCAAAGAGAAAAAAAAAGAAAAGGAAAAGACCCACCACCATCAAAACTCCCACATAATAACTTCAGTACTAAATCAAGTCAGAACAGAGAATTTACAAAATGCAAGAATTCTTACTGCTTTTATTACTGGATTATACTATGGATTTACTTGAAGGATTATTAAATTCTTAATGGATGTTAAAATTTTGTCTTCGCTGGCATTCGGAATATTTGATTATTCTGAGTTCTTGTAATTAGCACTGTGTGATAAGCAACTTTGATTATTTAGGCTAAGAATTCCTAAGTGAATTTTGTGCTAAGTGGAGGTAAATAGTGATCCCATTAGCTAAGTGATGGCAACATCTATTCCGCTCTGTGCATGAGCTGGAATAGGGCTTCCCCAATTCCCAAAGAGCCCACACTACCTGTCACTGTCAGCTTACAGAACATTGTCAAGTGTTGTATTGCTAAATTTTAGTAGTTAGATTTTATGGAATTTTTTTTTTAAATTTTAAGTTTCCTTTTTTTTTAGTTATATAGGCAAATATGTATCTTATATGTGATAGTACTGTATAAGAAAGATAATTTTTTCATTCTCAAACATTCATGGTAATTTCTGACTTGCAGAAGGCCAAATACGTCATAAGTGTGTAGGAAAAATTAACCTAGTTAGTATACAGAAAACTAGATTAAAAATAATGGTTCTTTCCAGTTAAAAAGTCATTTAGAAAATACAGACTATATAATAGTTGGCCCAACAGACATATAATCTGAATAATAAAGTGTTCTTGAGGTTGCTAGAAACTTAGCATAATACAAGAAAGACTCATTGTTGCTCACACACATTCTTGTGCAGGTCACAGCACACTTGTATCAAACAGTATAATATAAGAAAGACTCACTGTTGTTCTCACACATCCGTGTGCAGGTTACAGCGCACTCCTATCAAACTCCAGTGTTTCGCCTTGGATCCTCTGTCTTCTGCCAAGGAAACCATCGGCTACATTGTTTTGGATTTAAGAACCGCTCAAGAAACAAAGCAGGTATTGTCCATTTGGTTCTGTTAATTATTATGATAGATAGTTGGTTAAATAAGTACCAAAAGACAGAACAGACTGCTGGGCCAGTTGCAGATCGTGGCCTTGGGGTGAGGTAGAGATTTGAAGGCTTTAGTTTTGAGTTGGATTTATTCTTGTGAATTGTCTTTCTCGAAGAGTGCAAACCTGGGTGGAAGTCCCTGGCCCCTGGGTGTGCTGAGCTTCTTTTCAGAGGCTGTCTCCTCCAGTGCCTCAATTCACTGAACATCTGTCATTCTCTGTTCTTCTGAGTTCTAATCTAGAAGTCTGCTACACGCTTTCCTGTGCCCTCCTTCATAGCCATCCAGTCCAGAGGATTTTGTCCCCTTGGAATCTACTCTGCATTTTTGTACCTGCTGCCCCAATTAAAGCTTCCATTGTTTTATACCTTGGCTAACATAACTTCCTACTTGGCCTCCTTGCTTCCTAGTTCTGTACCCTTGCAGTCATGTTACTTAGTTGTGTCTATTAAGTCCAGGCTCAGGACACTCTGCTTTCCCTAACCTTCCTCATGAAACTGGATACTTTTCAGAACTTTGGGAGACCAAAGTTTACAGGGGGATTACAAGTTTAAGGACAGCTAGACTACATACTAAGACCTCACCTTCTCCAAAATAGCCCCAAAATCTGATGATTAAAAATTTGTATCAAGCCAAAATCAATGTTTTTTAAAGTATCGGTACCTGACCACAGTGCTCTCGTATCTGTGAGTACTGAGATGTGCCTTGGCTCAGGTTTCAGGCTGCATCTTAATGCCTCAAAACAGCAACAGCACTCAGGAGGCAGATGTCTGTGAGTTTGAGACTAACCTGCTCTACAGAGAGGGGTCTAGGACAACCGGGCTACACAGAGAAACCCTGTATTGAAAAAGCAAAAAAACAAAACAAAACAAAACTTCAACACCCATCCTACCACTGAGCTGTGTCATTAGCTCTTATTTTGGGACAGATCACACTAAGTTACCTCTGCTGGCCTCAAACTCATTCTGTAGCTTTCAGGCCTCACCTCCCAAGTAGCTGAGACTACAGGGTATGCTACCAGGTTTGCCTTAACTTCTTTTACTGATTGTGTCTCTTTCAGGCTTGTGTAAATATTATATTTCTTATATTATTATAATAATCATATTAGAGAGCTTCTAAAAAAGAGCCTAAAAGTTTTCACAGTACTTCTCAACAGTAACGCATTTAAAGATAGATAAGGCTGGCCTTGAACTCCTAGTACTTCTGCCTATGCTTCCCAGAGTGCTGTGATTATAGGCATGCACCAGAATGCCCAGATACATTAAAAACATTTTTAAAAAACTTTAAAATTAGTGTCTTTTCAGTTTCCTTCATTGTTTTGTTTTTCTCTTTCCACAGTTTTTTTTTTAAATTATTTGTTTGTGTCTGAATGAGTGTGTGCTTTACATGTGTGCACAGGTGTGAAATGGCACCCCTGCTGACTGTGGTTCCTGCACCTGTGGTACACTTTGTTGTGACTTGAGCCATGTGTTCTGGCTGGGGTGGTTCCTGGGATTTCTTAGGGTGTTGTCCTGTGGGTAGTCAGGTAGTTTAACCACATGCTCTGAGAAGATCTTTGTTGTCAGTGTCTGCCAAGTAGTGGCTCATAATGCAGAGCTCACTGGGCCTTTTCCTTAACATTTTATGCTATTTCTTAGTTACTGTTCTATTGCTGTGAAGAGACACTGTGACAACTCTTATAAAGGAAAATGTTTAATTTGAGGGCTTTCAGTTTCAGAGCTTAGTCCGTTATTGCCATGGTGGGAAGCATGAAGGCATGGTGCTGGAGAAATAGTTGAGAACTACTTCCTGATCCACAGATAGTCTGGGCCTGGTGTGAGCTTTTGAAACCTCAAAGCTCACTCCCAGTGACACACCTCCTCCAACAAAGCCATACCTACTTTAATAGTGTCATACCTCCTGATACTTCTAATCCTGTCAGATATTTCAACTCCCTGCTGACTAAGCATTCAAATATATGAGCTTATGTGGGACATTCTTATTCAAACCACCACAAATAATAACATTTTCTTTTTCTTAATTGATATGAGCAAGAAGAAGAGACCTAATAGCACTGAGCGAAGGAGTTAAGGGAACAAATGATTAATTAGGCTTTTGTTACTGAAGGATGTTGTGAGATTGGAGACAGAAGGCTGAAGATAGACAGGTGTTGTTTTCTCCCCTGTAAAAGCATTGGAATAGTTGCAAAGAAGACAATCTGAATGTTTTGGTATATTTCTCAGAGGGAAATTTAGTTGCTGGATTCCTAATTAGAATTAATTTCTTTTGAAGAAAATGTGGAAAGAAGTTTTGTGTTCTGAGACACTTTTGCAGATTTGGCCACGCTAGAGCTCACTGTGTGGACCAGGTTGACTTGTAGCTCAGAGACGGGCTTGCCTTTGCTTCCTGAGTGCTGAGATTAAAGGCTGAACTACCATATGCCTGGCCTGTGTTTTTTAAGAGGTGAAAGGTACTGAAAAGCTGTATCGAAAAGTGAAAACTTTAAGGAACATTCTGAGTATTTGTCCCTGTAAGTTTCACCGTGCTTTCTGTTTTGTTACCTAGGCACCCAAGTGGTACCAGTTGCTGAGTAACAAATACACCAAGTTCAAGTCTGAGATACAGATAAGTATCACTCTGGAAACAGATACAAAGGCACAGGTGGATAGTTTTAAAGCAAAAGGAGCCCCTCCTCGGGATGGAAAAGGTTTGTCATTTCTGTCTCTTGTGGGTTTTTGTTTTATTTTGAGACAGGGTCTTTCGTAGACCAGGTTGGTGTTATTCTTTGTCCTCCTTCTCTGTCTCTCCATTGTTTGGGTTATGGGTGTGCACTGGCACATGGAGTTTGTGCATCTTCCCTTTAGGACCTTCTTGCACAGGTTCCTCTGCACTAGCACTTTAGGAAGGGTGATGTTGCTGGAACTGTGTACAGGAATACAAGCTGATTTACCCTGTGCATCAGGCAAACATGATCCATGCACACATGTAACATGTGCAGGCTTGTTTACAGAGGTTTGCTCTCATTTACAGATCTTAGAATCTGGGAAAGCTTTTGTTTCTTAACTCAATAGATACTCGAACAGAAAATTTTATGTTTTAAAAATTACTTAGAAAAATTTTCTTTCCAGGATGAGTATAGAAAAGCCTGCAAATGTAATATACTTTATTATTTGTGTGTAGTTTAACAAAGTCTAAGTACATCTTTTAAATTAAAATTTATTTATTGGTAATCATATCTTACCATGTAGCACTGGCTGGATGGAACTTGCTATATAGACCAGGTTGGCCTAAAACCCACTGAAATCTGCCTGTCTTAACCTCTGTCCTTGCCGCCTGAGGGCTGGGATTAGGGACATGCACCAGCACACCTAGCACACTCCCTCTGTCAAGCCTCTTTCTGAACACAGCTAGTCCCATTCTTGAAGGAGTTATCTTGACTTCTCTCTCTCATCTGCTTTTTTTTTTTTTTTTCTGTGTGTGAGTGTTTGCCTGCCAATATGTTTGTGCAGTGTCCTCAGTTACAGACAGTCGGGATGTGGCTGCTAGGAGCCGAACCCCGGTCCTCTGCAAGAATAGTCAGTGTTCTTAGCCAGTGAGTCTTTCCCTCCAGCCTGAGACTCTGATCTCAATACCATCATCACAGTCGCCATTAAGTTTCAGCTTATGTTTTTCCATATGATTTTAATATAGTATGCATTCAAATTGACACTTTGAATTCCTTTGTGTCACAAGATTTATCCTTGTTTTTTTTTTTTAATTTCCAAACTTAGAGGTTGTCTTCTTGATTGTGCTTTCTGTTTATTTTTCTTTTGTTTTGAGACAGTCTTGCAATGTAGTACTCACTATGTAGCTCAGGTTGACCATAAATTCATAGCAATTCGTCTGCTTCAACATCCAAGTGGTGGGGTTATAGTATGAGCCACTGTGCTCAGCTGGAGAAACCTATTATAGATACTATTTTTAACTCCTGAGCTCTGTTGGCCTTATCTCACAATAGCTGCCTGTGCTTAATGTGTGCAGCAGTATAGTGCTAAGTGCTTTGCTTTCAGAGTTTAATTTGATCTTCAACAACCACATAAAAGCTTTGTGGAAGGAAGAATGGAGACGGAAGAATACACAGTTTTCTGATACAACTAAATGACCTTGGGATTGGGATTTCAGCATTTGGCCTAAGAGTCTGTGCTCTTAACCATAGGCTGTTCTCAGGCAATGCTGCAGTAAACACATTCCAATGAGGTGGACCCCTAGAGGAGAGGGAATGCTTGCTGATGGTCTGAGTACATAGATTTTCATAAGCCATGAGACATTCCCACCTGAAGCTTATGCTAGTGAGCCACTAAGAGTACGCACTTTCCTGCATTTCCACCCGCACGTTTATCTAATTTTAGTTTGTGTATGACCTATTCTTTTCCTCCTTTAATCAGTTTGAAAACCTCTCAACCCTATCTAATCTTTTCACACTGATGCTCATTTGACTGTGTTGGTCTCTTCTCAGAAGTTTTTGATGGTTTTCCCATACTCTTAAAAAACAAAGACTATAAAAATTACCTGAGAAATGTCAGTGTGCTGAGGTCTGTCCTTGTTTCTCCAGCCACAGCTCTTTCTATAGTCAGTTCTTACTCAGTGATCAGTTCTTCGTTTCTGTATTTAATTGTGGGCACTGAACACAAAGCCTCAAACATGCTGGACAGGTGTCCTACTGGTGAGCTGTGTCATCAGCCCTTGTTTTGTATCTTTTGTTTTGAGACAGTATCTTAGTTGCCCAGGCTAGCTTTAAACTAGCCCTACGGCTCAGGCAGGCAGACCTTGGACATGGGGTCCTTTAGCTCCCTCCATATCTGGGATTTTAAGGCTACTCCATGAGGCTTCCTCAGCCTTCATTTCTTTGACTTTGTTAATTTGCTCCTTGCTCCTGTCTCTGTTACATACTGCCCTCTATCTGAAACATGCCTTATAGTCCCTGGTCTCTGTTTACCTCTCTCTATCAGCCAAGTCTAGCATATTCTTCATTCCAGAGTGCATAGATTCATAAATAAATGTGTGTGTTACATTCCTTTTCTGTGTGGTCTATTAAGTGATTTAAAAAATACTTCAAAATATTGTTTTTATGTACAGAAAAGTAAAGTTAAAGCTTCCTAGAAGAAATTAAAAGAAGCCTTTTGAGATACTGTGTCCATGAAAATGGCAATTTCTTAATTAAATAAATACAACAAGCTTTTAAATGTTTATAATTGGCTAGGTATTGTGAGATGAGCCTGTGATCCTAGCACACAAGAGATTGAGACATAATGATTGTGAATTCAAGGCTACTCATGCTACATAGTAAGTTCCAGGCTAGATTGGGTAACATAGTAAATTTTAAACCAAACTGGCCTATATAACAAAAATCCTATATAAAGATAATAAAATAGTTTAGACACATAAAGTATATATGTCTAATATATTTTAATTTTTTTGTCTGTAAAGTCCCTGCTAGCCTGTGTGGAGTCGACCCGAAGGACATTGTTGCAGTGTTGAATGAGGAGGGAGGCTACCATCAGATTGGACCAGCAGAGTATTGTACCGACTCCTTTATTTTGTCAGTGACCATAGCATTTGCCACCCAGTTGGAACAGGTAAGGTATTCCCTCAGATTTATGATTCTATCAAGAGTTTGGAATCATGTTTGTCCTCTGTGAGCAATTGTATTTACATACACATACCCACACAGACTCAACTTCCCATACATGCTTTAAAAATCAAATACAAAAATCTTTTAAAATTTTTTCATGCTAGTAAACATTTTTTTGCTGTAGATTTCAGTGTCTTGGCAACAAGAGAATAAATTAATTTTCAGATTACGAAGACTGACCGTCAGTAAACCATGTTTGTATGTGTATGTGGCATTGTAAGAACGAATGAAAGCAACTTCTACACTTGCTTTTTGAACAGTATACTTTGTGAAGACATTAGCAATGTCGGGAACTCTTGGATCTGGGATTATATTTCACTTTGTTTGTATGCTTATAAACATTAGGCTGCTGTCAAGGGTGCTAGCCCAAGATGAACTGTTCTTGTGTCAGAATCAGTACTTCCTTACACAGCACAAGAAGCAACGTAAAAATTGGTATATTTTCTTTAGCTTCTCTTTCCCCATCCTTGGTTACTTTTCTATGCTGTGATAAAACTGTGAGCAAGGCACCTTTCAGAAGAGAGGGTTTGTGTCTAAGCTTTTCCCAGGGAAAAAAGGCCATGTGACGGAAGACATGAGAGTTGATGGCAGGTATGGTGGTAGGAAGCAGATTGGTGATTTTTCTGTACCTGGAACAGGAAAAGGGTGGTTGTGACTGCTCCCTGGTTACATTTCCATTTGGGTGACACTAAGGCGTTGGGTTTTTCTCTCTTAGTGCTTACTCAAAGGCAGGGAGAAAGCAGCCCTGCGAAGGGTTATGACAAGAAGATACAGGAACATAGAGGGCAGCTCCTTCAGTACTGGATGGCCAATCTTACTTCTTTTTTAAAGCCTTGAAAGCTTTGAGTGAACCCCAGTGTCTCTGAATTATAGAATGTTAAAGAATTTCTAAAAGATTCTCTGCTTGTAGTGAAAATTACTTGGAAGTTA